GCTTCGTCTTGGTCCACCACCGCTAAGCTTGAAGGGGGATATTAGATAATGATCTTGTATTGATTAGTATGTATTTGTTTATGTCTTTATCTCTCCATGATTATAGGAGAGTATGTTTTTATTCTTAATTATAAATACACAAGATCACACACTATTAATGTGTTCAATCTGTTTCTATATTGGGTCAAGTGGGTGAAGACTTATAATATGTCGCTTCCACATGATTGGTACGATCACTTTTCTGGGATTTTGATATTCTTCCAAAACAAGAGATTTAATGGGAACCATCAAGTTGGGTGTACACAACATTTTTCAATCTGAGTCTAATGAAACACGTGAGGCGCAATATGAAGAGTCGACATATGTAGGATATGTTTCCTTTAGTTCGTTGAGCAGGAACATCACATGCTTGAAATCAACATACAATTTCATTTCGTTTTCCTCTGAAGACGGGTCTATGTATGCAGATAGTTGTAGGTTTAGGTATGTATACAATAGATTCCTCAGAATTTTGGTATAAGAAAGACATTTATGGAAAGACATTTACCATAGAACATGATTTAAACTCCTCTAATAAGATTTTATGGAGACCTTTGATTTGGTAGATATATTCCCAGAGGTCCTTTGACTACCTACCAGTTTTCCTCTCTAGATGATCTTTTGCATCACCATTATTGATCTGTGGTACCAATTTATTTTCATGAATTGGGTACTGTCAACCGAAGTTTATGCTGAGAAATATACTCAAGAGTCAAGAGTCACTTTAGTCTCAAATTCTTCGTTTTTATTTATCGATCATGAATGTTGTTTTTCTTAACAAGGATTACACACAAACCGATTAGATCAAGAATGACATGGTAAAATGTTTGTTTCTCATATGATACATGTGAACCATGGGCGACTTGTCATATGGAACTTAGAACCGAAATGCAAATTTGGTAATATGAAAATGTATGTATCCAACATGCATACATGTCATATGTATATATGCATGTATATTTTTATATCCTATTCATGGTAATTCGTAAATATATATTTGTTATGCATACTATGTAGGCAAATTGTTTGGTCGAAATAGAATATATGTCATATGCATATGTTTGTAAGTAATTTGGAATTGGAATGCAAAATACGATATAATGTTATATATCTATAAATTTGGTCAACTGGAATGCCAAAAAAAAAAAAAAAAAAAAAAGTTACTGAGTTAAATAAAAAAGTTAAGGACCAAACATACATACTATCCAACACAATAGGGACCATTCATGTACTTTACTCATATTTGTAATCTTTTTTTATTTAGAGTAAATGACATGTTTAATCTCCAAAATCCACTTCTAAGCATCCATATTCCGGTTTCCTCCAAATTTTATGCAATTTCTATTTTTGTTTTATTACGTTTTAATAAACAAAATTTTTCATTACTTTATTAATTTCCTACATTTATTGAGGAGCATACTTAAACTTAAAGAATTTTATTGTCAATTTTAGTTTTCTAAAATTTGCTAATTCCTGCAAATTTAGCTCCTTTTTATATAAAAGCAATTTGTCTTTCAATAACATCTTGGAATCAATAATTATTATCTTTTTGAATGATTGTTTGTTTTTGTTTTCGTTTTGCATCAAGTCATCAAATGCAATAAATAAATAAATAAATAATAAGAAGCCCATGATAGCTTGTGTGTGTTTTTGTTTCCATGAACAATTAAGCCGCATATGACTTAAAACCGGTAAATCTAAGGTTACCGACTATTTTGGACGAAATTAAAAAGTAAAAATTGATCTATTAGGTTACAATTTTCATGATTTTAGAATAGAAAGTTATGTAAAAATGGCCATAATAGTTTGTAATACTGTTTTTTGCCATTGAAGTTAGATAATAAATTTTGGGGGTATAAAAATATAAGTATAATTTTTTTGTCAAATTAACAAAAATGATTAAATATAATTCTGAGAATTGTTATTAAGTATTTACATTTTGGAGGTTAGAATGTAAAATATAGAAGCTAATGTTGAAACGCCAATACCTGAGGAAATATATGAACGATTTATAAATTACTTCCTCACTATCTTCGCACCCTGGTTGACACTTGGCAGATAGAGAGAAAGAGGAAAGTACCCATCTACTCAAATCGATCCAAGTTGAAAGTAGAAATTAACTATGAAATTGAAGTATAATCTTGCAAAAGTAACTTGATCGCAAAATGGACTCTGCTTAAGTTGGGTGCTGCTGGAAATTTGAGGTATGTTCCTGAAAATGATAAATTGATACAGTATAAGTTATCAATAATTAAAATTGAAGTATTAGTGGTTATTGACTAAATTCTATCATTAAGTTAAGAGAATTAATGTCAATATGGAATGTCAGAAACGTATTTTGACCTAATTTAGTCAAAGTTGTGAAGTTTTTGAATTATTATAGTAAGTTAATCATTTTTGAAGTTAATACGTTGTTGTGTGTGTTATAAACGAATGTAATTAGAGGGAAATGAGTTTAATGATGTGCATATGTGCTGTGGATACAAAAAGAAAATCGAACAGGGGGATGGAGACATTAATTTAAATGAGTATGGGTAGTGATTGGAACTCGTTTGGTGTAAACAGAGGCCCACCTAAAACATAATTATCACCTATAGCATTGACACAATATAGATTATTATTAACATATGATGAATGGTATGGGGTTCTAACTTGAATCTTTATGCATCATTAGTTGAGAATAATGATGGTGTGACGAGTTGTATAAAGCTATGTGATAAATTTCATTATGGATGTGGTTAGCGAAAGTGTTTATCAAAGGTGCTGGATTATGGTGGTGGCATAACCACATAAATAGCTGATGAGTCATACGGTTGAAGGGCATATAAAAGAGGAATTATGATACATTATGTGGGTTCTGTCAATGAAAAGCCAGAGATCGTGTTAATATGTGAATGCTGAAATACCATGGAGGTATTGTTATATAGGTATTGTCATTAATAAAAATGCCATAAAGGTAAGAAAAATGAAATACCATGAATGTAAAGTTATTGAAATACCATGTGGATTATATCTATATACCATGGAAGTATTGTTAGAGAAATACCATAGAGGTAATGTGACTGAAATACTATGGAGGTAGTCGTCATAATAAATATGGAGGCCTTATATGTTGTGAACTATGGAAATTATATGCATATAACATATGGAGGTCATGGCTATAATTTGACTGTTTTGATGAGTATGATACATTTTCCCATGGAGGCGCTATGTAATTAAATTTATCTTGGAAGTTACAACTATATCTTTAATAACTACAGGGGATCCATTTACTAGTTATAAAATGCATGTATTTATAAATGTCATGGAGATTTTACTTTTACTTTTTTTATAAATTTTGTACATTTATGTTTACAATGGAGGTTATGCTTTCATATTTGTCATTCAGGCTACACATTCTTATTTTCCATTGAGGAAATGCATCTTCATTGCTATTAAAAAAAAGTTTGGGTCAACTATCTTAAAAATAAATCCCCATGTGCTAGTCTTAAATGATACATGTGTCTGTTAATGTAATGATAAGTGTTAGTGTAACACAGTTGAGGATTGAAATGAGAAGTCTAATGAGTTGAGTAATGCATGAGAGTTGGCATGTTGCTATTTGATAACTTGTTTATATACTTGTTATGATATGTGTATCCCTTGTAGGATTTGAACTGCTTACGTGACTGTATTATGAGTTAAGTATGATTAATTAGGCTTGAGATTATAATATGATTATTTGTCACCATTTTGTGACAACTAACCATGATGAACCTAGTAATTGAGAATGGTGGTAAAGAGTCTTAGGTGTTAGTTTGATTTTCTGAAGCAAAAATTAATGAAGTCTGTGGACCACCTCTGCAACCCTCTGCAGTAAAAGAGGTGGACCAAACGGCTGCAGACTATAATAAGAAGCGTGTTTGTTTTTTTAACATCTGCATACTGCTGCAAATATTAAAAAATTAAAATAAACTATTTTTTTAAACTGAAAATAGCTTTTTAATACGTAAAATTTAATAATGTATAACATTTCGGTAAAAATTAATGATATTTGAGTAAAAAAGAATGATATTTCAACAAAAAAAAATAAAGATATTTTAATAAAAAATAATGATATTTCATCAAGAAATTATCATTATTGAATATAAAAAAATGAAAAATAAATTCAATAAGAAAAAACGAAAAAAAATGTGAAATAAAATTTTAATAACATATAATCAAAATTTCAGCAATAAAAAAAGAAGAAGAAGAGGTTGGAAGAGGCAGTACAAGTGTTGTGCCAAACAGAGCACGCGCAGAGGTTTTTGACTCAGAAGACTTCTAAAAAACAAACAACTGTGAGATGAAAAGTGTTACGTGTGTGTTGCGTCGCGCAGCAGTAAGAGGTTTGAAGAGGGTTTTTCCAAAAAGACAAACAACACCTTAGACGATGTATCCATAGGGTTGATGAGAAAGTTAAAATCTCATATTGTTGAGGAAATGATAGTTAAATCCGTTTGTGCAATGGAACCTGTATCCCTGGTATGTAAGAAGTTATGAACATCCATATTATAGGTAATAACAAGATCTTAATAAATTCTTTATGCTTGTAAGTGTATTAAGAGGGAGAGGTTGTTTTTGTGTGGGACAAGTCTAAGTGATGGAACATAAGGAGTTTAATGTTTGATGTAAGGAATCCAAGTTAAAGATCTTTTAATAATTGTAATACTCTTAGGGGGCTTTCAGTTTGTGCGATTGTTTTTGTACATAATATGATAGTAAAGTTGTAACATATAGTGCTTAGTAAAGAAATCTTGAAGGGTAAATATGTTCTCTCTTGTGGAGAGAGAGAGAGAGGGGAGGGAGAGAGATACTTCAATTATGAGTTCTGACAAGGTTTTTCTACATGATAACAGGTTGTAACGGAGACTCGCATCTCCTTGTATATTTTATTTCATTAGGGTGCTCAAACCACGTACATTCTATCTCAACAAATCAACATGTCGATGGCATCTTCATCATCTTCTCCTTCCGATGTGACCTTTTCTTCTGAGGTGTGGAAGTACCATGTTTTTCTTAGTTTTAGAGGAGAAGATACTCGTAAGACGTTTGTGGATCATCTGTACACAGCTCTTGTACAACAAGGGATCTTTAGTTACAAAGACGATGAAACACTTCCTCGGGGCGAATCAATTGGTCCATCTCTTGTGACGGCTATCGAAGAATCACAGATAGCCATCATCATATTTTCTAAAAACTACGTAGATTCGTCATGGTGCTTAGATGAACTTGTACATATCATTAAATGCAAGGATACAAGAGGACATATCGTGATACCCATATTTTATGATGTTGATCCTTCTGAAGTTCGAAAACAAAAACACAAATACCGGGAAGCATTTGTGAAACACGAGTTGAAGAACAAGACCAAGGTTGAATCTTGGAGAAAAGCACTTGTGGATGCAAGTAACATTTCTGGATGGGAAACCGAGTATGTTGAGAACGGGTAATTTTCTTCTTTATCTGTGACTTTTTATGCTTAAGATATGTGTGCTCTACTACAAGACATTTACACTTTTTATGTTTAAGATATGATGCTAAATTCATGATGGTAAAATACATGTTTTTAGAGAACACTAGTCATGTATAATGATGAAATTAGTTATACCTGTGCTATGCAATAATCTAATAACAATTGTCTATATTTTAGGCTTTCATAGGCTTTAACTAGATCACTTGACAAAACCCGGATAATAATCACTACTGCGGGAGATTAACATATGCTAAGAACTCACATGGTAGAATTCTCTAGGGTAGAAGTTTATGATAAGGCTATTTGTCAATGTGAGTGTGTGTTAATGATCCTTATATATTCAATTTGAAGGCATGAGTCTAAGTGCATTAAAGAAATTGTTGACACAATTTCACAAAGGTTGCAACCAATAACTTCAAGCGGGGATGACAACCTGGTTGGAGTAGAGGCTCGGATGCAACATTTTATGTCAAAATTACAAATTGAGTTTGGTGGTAAGAGGATGATTGGAATATGGGGGGTTGGGGGTGGTGGTAAGACAACTCTTGCCTCTTCTGTTTATGATGAAATCTCCATCAAGTTTGATGGTCGCTGCTTTCTAAAAAATATTCGGGAAGAATCAAGTAATCAAAACGGTTTGGAAAGATTGCAAGAACAAATTCTTTGTACTGTTTTGAAACAGAAGCAACTAAATGTAGGGAGAGTTGAAGAAGGAAGGCGCACGATAAAGGATAGGTTACACCATAGAAAGGTGTTGATTGTTCTTGATGATGTCGACAACCTTGAGCACCTAGAACAGTTAGCTGGATCACGTGATTGGTTTGGTGAAGGAAGTCGAATACTAATCACAACTAGAGATGAACATATATTAACTGGACACAAAGTAGATGTTATACACAATATTAGTTTATTAAACAATGATGAGGCTATGAAGCTCTTTTGCAAGCATGCACCTTGTGGTCACAAACCTTTAGAAGATTACGAGTTTCTTTCAAAAGATGTAGTTTCTTATGCAGGTGGGCTCCCATTAGCCCTTAGAATTCTCGGTCGTTTTCTAGGTGACAAAGAGATGAATGAGTGGAGGAGTGCCTTGGATAGATTGAAAGAAATTCTAGATGCTAATATCTTGGAAAAGCTAAAAATCAGCTTTGATGGACTCAAGACTCTGGAGAAATAGTTGTTCCTTGATATTGCATGTTTCTTTTGAGGGCATGATTATAAAAATGAAAAGATTATGATGATACTTGATGCTTGTGGTTATCATCCTGTTATAGGCATAAAGGTGTTGGTTCAAAACTCTCTCATAACTATTACAGAACATGGAAGGTTTGATATGCATGATTTGGTACAAGAAATGGCACATTACATTGTTACAAGGAAACACCCCAAGAATCCTGAAAAACATAGTAGAGTTTGGAAGAAGGAGACATTCTAAAAATATCTTTGAGATCATTACATATGTTATGTGTTTGCATGTTTACTGAGCGGGGGTCCGATAACCATTCTGTAGGTTGTTTATCTTTGTGATTATTTCATGTGTATGTGTTTATATGTTCATATGTTTATATGTATACTGGGCAGGGCTCGATGCCGGCCGGGACCCAATGACTGACAGATCTGTATACCGAGTGAGACTCGATGATGGGCAGACCCAGTATTTGTTAAAGATATTAAACTTGTTGAATTGTTTGAACTTAGGATAGTTATGTGATGACTGATGTGGTTATGCCGTTATATAAAAATTTTGAATTTTGTGGTAATCTTATCTTTTCCGGTTCATCAAAAACGATTATAGCATGTAACCAAACGTTTTTCTTTATTCTTAATTTGGAATGAAGAAGTATGCCATATTAACTTGAATTTATTATTTTGATTATTCTTACATAATTCAAATTGTTAAATATGTAGCTGATCATTTTAATGCCCTACCCGAATAATATTCCTAAATCCATCACCGGAGCTTTACTACTGTGACAAACATTGTATATCAGTAAATTACATAAATATTTCCACAACCATGGAAACACTCGAACCCGAAATGCAATTATTAACCTTGGTTTGTTGAAAATATTTAAGGGGACTTAAATGCAAAAAGTTCTGAACTTTATGGGAGTATATTGTAATTTTTCCATGATTTTGTCAAAATAACTAGAGAAAGGAAGATACAACGCCTGTATGTGCGCGACTCCTTTATATCATCACATCACATCTCTCGTCTTCCGCCATCGCTGCCGCAGCCAACGCCGCCACCACCACCACCACCGTTACAAATACATCAACCACCCAATCCCTCACTCAAACACGAAATGAAGACTTCTCTCTCTTCATCTCAATCCCTTTTCCATCTGTTACTGATCTGTATCTTCATCATCACCATTACTTCATCCACCACCTTGCCGGAAGACTCCGCCATCACATATCAGCCCAACCGCCGCCACCAACTCCATTATCACAATTCTTGCATCACCATCTCCAGAAAAGAACACCCCACGCCTCTCTGTAAGTCTCGTTGCCCTCCACCTCTCCCTCCATTGCTACACCGGCATCCACAAGTACAGCCGCCGCCACCACCGCCGCCGCCGCTGCCAATCAATGAAGAAATCGATCCAAGATACGGCGTTTCAAAAAGATTAGTCCCTTCTGGACCCAACCCACTCCATAATTGACAAAACCCATTTCTTTCCACCGTCTAATTCAAGATTCTCTCCATCAATTCTTCATAATTTCTTGAACCCCATGATCAAAAGCAATATCACAGTTATTTTGTTTTCCCGGCCACCCATATTCGTTCTTTCCGGCATCTATTACTATTCCAGTCCATGTTTTCGAATTGGTAGTCTGTTAAAGGAGATGCAAGCATGAAGGAGCGTGTGGCTATGACATTTTGACCTAGCTAGAAGAAGCAAAAACAAGCATGGAAATAGTCAAGATTTACTTCGTAGTAGTACTATTAGCTATATTAGTTGTACCTTTGTTTTTGTAGGAAGAACTGGAAGTACTTGGTATCAAGAGAAGCCCATGACTTGCATTAAAAGTTTGAAGGTTCCATGAGGAAGATGGTAATGCTGAGGGTAAAATTGTCTTTTTGTATGGTTATTTGCCAAATCTATGTTAAACATGTTCATGTAAATAGTTACTATGCCAATGAATGAATGAAGGGTTGAATGAAGTTTTTTTAGATGAATTTTCTGTTTTGCCATTGAAACACTTGGTTAATTTTATGCCAATTAATATATGGGGTACGAATTTATTGAGAGGTCATGAAATCCATGATCCTTTCAAACAACAAATGTACTCACTCACTGTCTTCAAATATAAAAGTTCGAAACAGTAAGATGCAGAGTAACACGGGTATGTTTGTATATACTTTTAAAAAATATAGTTTTATCATGGATATAAAATCTTTGGAAGTGAAATAGTTATTTTATTTTATTTTTTCTAAATTTTTTCAGGCAACAAATTTGGTCATTACAATGTGACCAAAGAGAGTTTGACCAAATTATATCAAATCGCCAAAATGATAGTGACTTGTGAGATTATGATAAGGACTATTTATTCGAGCCTTTCTTTAATTAACTTGTTTAATTTTCAACTTTGCTTGTTTTTGTTTTTATTTTTCGTTGATAGAACATTTATAGGGAAGGCATCTTGTATAATTAATTAATTATCAAATAAAAACTTATTAACCTAAATCTTCACCAATCATTAACTATTTTTTTAATTAACTAATATATAATTATTGTATGTATAAGGAAAGTATTATAAAACATTATTATCTAATTTATCCTTTTTAACACAAATATCAATATTTTAAAATAAAATATTACACCACAAAAACATTTAATTAAAATAAAATATGTATAATATAGAAATTTTGACAATTAAATTAAAGACATATATGACACCACGCTATATATATATATATATATATATATATATATATATATATATATATATATATATATATATATATATATATATATATATATATATATATATATATATATATATATATATATATATATATATATATATATATATATGTTCAGGTTCATTTGAGACTGTTAATTTTATGAGACCATGAGACGAAATTTAAAAATAATTTTAAAATGCAAAATAAAAGGAAAAATCCAAAAATTCTTTTTTAATTATTATTGTCGGAACTTTAATTACCTAAAAATAATTACCGTTTTTTTTTTTTTTGAAAAATATGTGAAATATTCTAATATAATTTTATACTATAAATATTCTAATGTGGTTTTTAAAATGTTAGAATATTATACTAGATTTATCATATATGTAGAATATTTTATTTATTCTATTAGAATATGTAAAAAAAAGGTTTTTTATTTTTATTTTTTTATTTATTTTTTGGTATTTTTTTGGAAAATATAAATTCCAAAAATAATATTTGAAAAAAAAAATTCGAAAATTTTCAATTATTTTGCATTTTAAAAATGTTTTTTGTTTTATCTACGAAATGAATGGTTAGGATTGCGTCTCACGATCTCACAAATATATATTATATATATATATATATATATATATATATATATATATATATATATATATATATATATATATATATATATATATGACAACGGGTACTTATAAAAACATGATGTCATAAAAAATCAAAACAAAAAAATATTATTTTATTGGAGATTTTTGCCAAAAATGTGAAAGATGATAAATATTATGTCTATAATTATAAAAATACTAAAAATATTATATTAGTTGTTTTAAAAAACTTGGTACATCCATAGTGGTACCACAACAACTACATGAAAAACTATGTTGAATTATAACATGAAAGACTATAGTGGTATTGTAGCAATGTAAGTGAACCTAAGACTATGATGGTATAATAACACTCACATGAGTATCTAATATTTTAGGAAACTTATTAAATTTTGTGTTTACTATTTAAGTTTAAAATATTTAACGTTGACAATTGTTATGACATTAAGGGGAATAGTGTAACTTGATTGCATTGCATTGCATCCATAGATATATTTTAGCGATTTTTGCACTCTTGATTTTATTATGATAATGACTCTAGTTTGATTATAGTTTGAAACAAATAGTTGTTTATTTATTTGAGAATGAAATTGGTATGATTTTCTTTAAATTTAAAATAAAAATTAGGGAAAACTGCAATAAAGTCCCTACATATTGGGTTCATAATCGATTTAGTCCCTATATATTTTTTTTATTCAATTAAGTCTCAAATACCGGTAATCGTATTCAATTTAACCATTTTGACCCGGTCAACATGTCATCCAACTTTTAAAAATTATATTTTTGGCCCAGATTTCAAAATTTATTACAAATTTGACTTTTGGCCCAAATTTTAAATTTTGTTACAAATTTGGTCCAAACATTACCCTTTTGACCAAATTTTAGAATTTTATTATGAATTCATCTTAACTTTAGTTTTTTTACAACTTTTTTTCTCAAAGAATTGTTTCTAATATGTTTTTTCTTTATAAAATCATATTTATATAAAAAAAAAACGTATTCACTTTAAAATCTTATATTTTCTATATAAAAACCTTTTTTAAAAAGTTTTTTATATTAAATATCTAGTTATAAAAATAAATATTTATTAAGTATATAAATATATACAAATCTGTTTTAATAAAAAAAATATATACAAAAATGTATTTTACAAAAAAACCATATACAAACACCTATTTTATCTATATTTTTTTATAAAAACTTGTTTGAATATTTTTTTATATAATAAGTGTTTGTATACATTTTATAAAATGTATACAAACACGATTTTATAAAATATATACAAATACGTATTATATAAAAAATTATTTAAACACATTTTTATAAAATGTATACAAACACGATTTTATAAAATGTATACAAACACGTATTATATAAAAAAATTAGTCAAACACATTTTTATAAAAAGTATAAACAAACATGATTTTATATTTGTGTGCATATATATATATATATATATATATATATATATATATATATATGCACACACATACACACACAAAGCTGATAGGTATTTATATACATTTTTTTATAAAAACAGTTTTGTATATATTTATATACTTAATAAATATATATATTTTTATAACTAGATACTTCATATACAAAAAGGTTTTTTTTAAAAAGTTTTTATATAGAAAATACAATATTTTTATGTGA